ATTCTCAGAACCCACAGGTTTCCCATCCACTCCTGTTTGAAATTGGACAATGTGATCTGTGAAAGCATAGCACATAAGCTGAAGCTGTGTCCTTCCCAGAACTTCTGTGGGTTTCCCTGGAGACCCAGCCATGAGCCCCATGCTTAACATAAACAGAGACCTGTAGAGGAGATTATAGAAGGGGACTACATTTTGATCAACCCCCATTCCCTTGAACTCATTGAAGCCAAAGGTGGTGGGCAAAAACTCATTCAAAGACAAATAGGGCCATTTGAAGTTTTGGAAAAAATCAACACTCAAGTTTTCTGACTTAAACTCCCTTCTGAATACCAAATGCACCCAGTCATCAACAGGGAGCATCTCAATAAATATCATTTCTCTCCTAAGTAATTCAGACAAAGGACTCAACTCAATAATCCAAGGGAATTAAACACCAAGGATGAAGAATACAAGGTCAAAGTCATAGTAGGGCACAAAAAGCATTGTGTGAAGGATAGGCTGCAAACAGTACAATACTCTATAAGGGAATTGAGTATTACTTTGATTCTTTAATTTTCCTATATTTTATATTATTTTTCCTTCACTTTAAATACAAAATATATCTCACATTTAGTAGTGCAAAGGTCCATGTATGCTTGTGGGCACACAAGCACCCACAAGCCCATAATAGTCACAATAGAAAAGACACTTCTAACCCCAACAACCACCACCTGCACAATGCAATCTCAATAACATCCACATCACCACACTTATATTTTGACTGTGAGCAAAGCTTCACACTGAAACAGTCGAAGCTTGCTCACTACTACTCAACCCATCTTCAAGGATAAAACTTAGCATAATAGAATGCATCTCTCGAAGCTACTCCATTCCTTTCTCACAGTAGCAACACTATTCCTACTCTCTCTCTCTCATTCTATAAGTAATCTCTAATAGTACCTCTAAATTGATCTGTGTCCCAACTACCATCAGTCTGATTGCACCTTGAGGTCAACCTCCATTCTTAAGTATTTCATCTCATTCATCACACCTTGAAGGTCAATCGTATTTCTATCATTAGAATAGTAGACTATTATTATCATTTAATTACTACTATTCTAATAAGTTGATATTGCTCCCACATTGAGTGGTAATTTACTTGACTCTTCACACATTGAAATTGATTACTTTTTCAAGTCCAATGGAAAGGATACAGGCCAGAAGAGGATACTTGGTTAAACAGTAATGACCTCCGAAACGCCCCTGCACTCCTCAGGGCCTACAAGGCCATTTACAGGATTTAACAAACTATATACTACCTTCTCACAATTAAGAATACAAATTTATCATTTTATCTATCTAAAGATGTAATCAACTCCCCCTCCTCCCACTCTCCCTTTTCATGGTCTGAAAAGTAGCAGGACTGTTAGTGACACCAAAGATCATGACTAGTGGCTCAAATAATCCTCTATTGGTCCTAAATGCTGCCTTCCACTCATCTCCCTTCTTTATCCTAACATTGTTATAACCCCATTTAACTTTTTCTGTTCAATTGGTGCTAAGTAGTAAAGCTTGCATCTGAACAGTTCTGAACCAGGTTTTAATTCAATGGCATGATCCCAGGGCTTTCTATCAGGTAGTCTGTCAAAAGGACTCTTTGGAGGACACCCCCTTAAATTGGTGGTAACTGGGGACTGAATCCTCAAAGGTTTTCTTCTGGTCCTGTTTATGAGACTTTTCTACCAGCTTCTGAGATACAGTAGAAGTAGCATTGACATTGGACAGAGGATAGATTGTTGTAGCCCAGATCCTGTCACTGTCTTCAACCGCTGACTGGTCATCTTCCTCCTCATCCTCATCTTCAGTTTTAATGAGATTAGGGAGTTTCCTTTTTTTAAGTTCTGTGCCTTCTTCTGCCTCTTCCTAAAGTGAACCTCTCCAGTCCTCCAATTTATTTCTGGGTTGTGTTGGTATAACCAAGTGTGACCAATGATAGCAGACTTATTGCCTAGGTTACATACAGCAAAGGTGGCTTTTTCTATATGGTTTTGAATATCATTGTTAAATGTACTTCCTCTTAGATTAGATAGATCCCCCATGATTCAGTGTTCCATCAACACTGTAGATTGGAACAGCTCTAGGAAGCTTAACAGTATTAAGGTTATGATAATCCACAATTTTTTTATCCAAAGGAAGAAGACCTGTGCTCCAGAATCAAGGAGGGCTGTATGTAAAGAACTGAAAACTGACTAATGTCAGTGGCCGACAGGGACCAATCGGAAGGACTTGGCTTCAGCTTATGTGCTGCGCCCTCACAAATATCCGTAGTGTGTCCTTAAATTTCGGACAGGCGAAGACTAATCCTAAAGAGTTCCTTTCAGTGAGATACTGATCGGGACCAAAGGATAAGTCGAGTGTCGGGCCAAGGGGTCAGGGCCGGGAGTGGGCAAGTGCACGCAAAGGCGGATGAGGGGATCCTTAGTATGAGACTGCTACAGATGTATGAGGGTATTCTGAGTCGATATTCTGATTGCCCAGTTACTACAATTACAGTGGGTTCATATACAAGTAACAGGCGTCTAGAAAATACTAATGGGGAGAAAGGTGGAAAACGGTATTAACAATAAGCTCGACTAGGAACGGGAAGTTTATGATTAGTTCGGAGGCCGATGATAACCGAGAGTGGAATTACAGTAAAAGGAAATAGTTCGAGGACTACAAATATAGATAGACATATGTGAAACATAGGATAGAGCGGATCATCATAATAAAAGGGACGTATCAAAAGTTTAACCAGATAGTATGAGTATATTTTGATGTGGGCGTAAACGGAGTTTGATCACCGTGAAAGCATACATCAGCATTGGGGGCGATGGTTTCCGATGTGGTGACTTGAACGATAACTTGAATTGTCGATAGGTGGTGATAACCTCGGGGCCAAGTGGCTGCGACACGGTCGTAACACTGTAACAGAAAATCTGGCTCCTGTTTCTAGTATTCTGAGGACAACTGGAAGGTGTGTAGAAGTCTTGGGATGAGTGCTTCTGATAAAAATCCTTTGTGGGGAATTTCTGAGTGAGATGTTGTTGACATGAGTTTGGCTTCAGTGTTTAAAGAGTCTGATTGAGATGGGGTAGTATCTGGCAGACTATCTAGCACACTAAATTTGTTACTCCATTGGAACATGTCTTTCACCAATGGTGCCTTCAAAAATCCTTCTTTTCCTCCTCAAACCCCTTCCCCTCCTTTTCCATTTCCTTCTTAAGTTCCTCTTTCATATATGCCTTGATGGCATCATAATCCATACTGTTGATGTCCATATTGGACCTACACTGATTGGCCTTGTTCCCTGGTTTCCTACACTTGAAACAAACAATGGGTTTAACAGACTTCCAACCTGAGTCAACCTCAGATTGCTTGACATTCTGGGCTGCTTAACTGGAGGGATTAGGATGGTTATTGTGCTGAGGTGGGGCTGGTTTTTGGGGCACAGAGAGCAGGCCAGAAGTTCTCTTGCTAGCTTCTCTTTGCCTCCATTGCCTATCCAACTTTGTGGCCCAGTCAAACCAGCCTTTCAAGGTAGTAGGCATTTCTGGGAGAGCATATATCCTGTCTACCAAGGCAGAATTGAGGCCCTGCTCAAACTTTTCAATGAGAGCAGCATCATTGTATAAAGTATCCTCCTTTAATTGCCTAAACTTGGCAATATAATCCTCAGCACTTTGTGAACCTGTTAAGTGTCATGTCAGAAACCTATTCCAGAACTATTGGGAAACAACCAGAACTCAGGAACTTCTAGATAGGGTCAGGATGTTGGCTTCAGCTTATGCGCTGTGCCCCTATGAAAAATGCTTGGGATGACCTTAATTTCAGAGGATTTATGCCAGAAGACTATGGGTATTCAGAGTTCCAAAGAGTTCCAAATATTGAACATACAAAAAGATGGAAGGAATAAGTAACTAAATTGATATCAGATCTAAGGTGCAGTACAAATGTGCTGGGCTAATATAGACATTATTGTATTGTACTACAAACTAGGAGCACAATAAGATGGGATTAGGAATGCAGATTCTGAAATGGGAACATAATAAGGGAACAGGTGAACAGCAGTCACGGACCAATTACCAAATGCAGAACAAAGGTGAGGTTAGTAAGTATAGGATCTGGTAATATTCCATGGACAGAAGTTGTAATAGGAAGTTGTAATGAAAAGGTACAGAAGATTGAAGTATCTGGGAACCAAGCATAACAGAACCCTGTTTGAATTGGTTCAACTTATGTCTGGCTATGCTGGCAGGGTTAGGATCTCCAAATGTCTGCTTTAACTCTTTTAGGAAATCTTCCCCAAGTAGAGTCAATAGTCCCTCTAGTGGAATACTCCTTTACTTTGAGTTTGGCCCAAGGTTCAGCAGTTCCTTCTTTCATGTCAGATAGGGCAAAGATGATCTTGTCAGAGTAATCATGCATTCTCTTTCCCTGAAAGTAGAAAGAGAGTTGAGTGACAAAAGTGTTTGTCCTCTGCTGTGAACCATCAAAGGAGTCTGGAGTGGCTACTTTGAAAGTTTTCACTGTTGAGGTATGTGATGGTGAGAGACTCTCCAGAAGCTGCTGCATCTGAATAATCTTCTGCTGCAGCTCTTCAATGGAAGGAGTAGGGGGTATGGAGGTAATAGGAGTGGATAGGGTAGGAGTATGGTTATCCATGGTATCTGTAAAAAAAAGGGGGTGGGGTCCAATAGGGTAGGATGTGATCTTCCCTCAGGAGTGTGTGTGGAGAAGAAAACTAGCTACAAAAGTGTCTTGGGCAAGCTGTGGTTACAGGGTAAAAGTGTCTGAATTTTCAGTTATGCCCACTGTCTATGTACCTACAGGCAAACATAGATCTTTGAACTCACACAAACAAATATAAACAAAGAATACTTTAGTTAGAAAATAGTAGAAAAATAAGAGAAAAATCTAAGAAATATAATATGATGAAATGGTTATATTTCCCAGAGAGGGGTACCCCTCACACTACCCAAGGCCAGGTGGTGTAGTGGTTAACACCTTGCTATGCTGTATATGTGAAAGACCCTGGGTTCAATTCCCAGTCTGGCCATTCATTTTCTACCTTACTTATTTAATCTTACAGTGGGGAGCTTACCCCCCACAGGTTCAACCTTGTAACTTAATTACACCACCCATATAGCATGTGTCCCACTGATGACCCGGACTTCCATATTCAATCAATATTGTGGTAGTGGAAAACGGAAAATATAAGGGTTTAATCTGGTATTTTTCAATTCAGTCGGTTCAATTCCCACACGCTCATGTCCCTCTGACACTGTACCTGACATACCTGTCTGACACACCTGTCTGCACCTAACCTGTGAGGTATCAGCATTATCTCATAAGGTTCTGAATTATTTAATATTTTCTTGAATTTATTGTATTTTTATTATATTTCTATTGTGAAATATAAGGCTTAGTTCCTTTCAAAGAATCCAAAAGGTTTATTAATTAAATTATATCCTGTATCTTCTTTAATAATCTTTTAACTTCACATAATAATATCATATATGAGCTCATATGATGCTATTATATCTTAGTTAATTTATTATAAATTTTAACTAATTATTTATATTTTATTTACTTAGTTATTGTTTCTCAGCACTTTGCTTTACCCTTGTGCAATGCACTCTTGAAGCCCGGAAACACATTACATCATCATTTGTGCCCAGTGCTTCAAATTTGGGATTGAGGGAATGATTTGTCAGCAGGTGACAATTACAACATGTGACAGCATGAGTCACTGGCTTTTGCTTCTGTCCTGAATCTTGGCCTCTAAACTTTTGAGTTCAGGCTTAGAGTGCAACCCTTGTCTCAGACATGGGAGTCATATGAGAGAAATAGGGTAATAAATTATTAGACATGATATTATAAAATAAATAAATAGTTAAATAATTTAGTTATCAAAATGTATAAGGAGGGCTAAATTTCAAAATTGTTATGACCAGAAATCCTGCCAGACTCTGGGCACTAACTTATATGCACCTGCACCCTACATGCACCAATTATCAGTTTACTGGAATATCTGCCGAACTCTGGATGTCAAACCTGTCCACACTCAACCTTCATCATTTCATGTATCAGTCACTGGAATACCTGCCAGACCCCACTCCTGTCTATCTCTGACCCTGTCCCATGCACCAGTCACCAGACCCTACTCAGAAAACCTGACAGCTCTCTAACTGAGCCCTGTTCCTGTTATGGTCAAATGACCCGTCACGATTTGGACTCCACTCCACTCTGTTCCATTCCTAACACCAAGTTTGGTGTTTACTATCTCATTTTATGTTTGCTAGTTTAATTTTCATTATTACTGGATTTGGTATGTTATACATTCCACAGTCTATATAGTCTGGCAGATGTTGTACATACAATCCAGTCAGAAAATCAGCTTAGATTCTCCCCAGTAATCTCAAGTATATTTTCCACTCTAATCTCCTCTTTGAAACACACCACTTTACCTCATCAGAGCCCACAGGCTCCAACCCATCTATCACTTGACCTCCAAACTATCTCAACCCTGACTCATCTCTGCCCGACCCCTCGACTGTGGACTTCCCGCAGTTGACTCTCTGACCTCTCAACCCACAAACCCCTCCCGGACTCCCCAGGATTTCCATCCACCAGTCTGAAATTGGACAAGACAATCTTGCAAGGGCGCAGTCTACATATAAGCTGAAGCCAAGTCCTACTGGCTTTCCCATGGGTTTCTCCAGAAACCCTCCGATAAGCTCCATGCACAACTCTTAACAGTAATAAATCAACTTATCACACATAAATTTTACTGCACAGCTCATGTATCTCATCATCCTAAGGACAATAATAGCCTTAGTCTGATACACTAACTGCAAGCACCTACACTTGCAGAATCTAGAATTCTTTGTCAGCACTCTTGAACTTAGCTAATTATCTAAGTTCCCCCAGCCTCACAGCTACCCTTAGGCTTATTAATTATGTACATAATAAACCTAATAAGTATTCTTACTGAAATCCCTGCCAACACTTAGATTATTCATGGCCCATCCCTAAGTTAGTGAATTAATCAAGTACAACCACACAAGAAATCCAACACAAATTATTTTCTCTATTAATAAATTATTTAACACCTTGTTAAATATCTATTAATAGTTACAAATGAGCATACAAGAAACCGAAGCTAATATCAAGTCTCTACTAAGTTACTGTGCATATACTCAGCTTCTAGCCTCTATTCTCAAGGAATACATAGCTGTTTATTTGCTAAAAGAGTCATATATTATTCTATTGAACCTTTCAATAATCAAAATAAGCATTGATTTTAGTTGTTTAAGCTTAATAGTGCAACTAATTAATCTATCAGTATTTAAATTACTGGACCTTTGCTTATTTTATTATTGAAGCTCTGTGACACTATAGCATATATTGAGCTATCTAAGAGAAACCCCTAAATACATTACATAACCCTGTGTGTCTCATGCACCAGTCCTTGGACTCCACTGGACCCCCTGCACATCCAACCTGTCTATACCTGACATTGTCTCATGCATCAAGTCCCTGGACTCCCGGAGCCCTCTAACTGAGCCCTGCTCCAGTTATGGTTAAATGCCCTGTCATGTTTTGGACCCCACTCCCATTCCGTTCCATCCCTAATACCTAGTTTGGTATTTACTTGTTTCATTTCATGTTTAATAGTTCTGCCCCTCATTAATACTGGATTTGGTATTATTACATTTCACAGTCTATATAAGTCTCCTATATTCATGTACTTAGAATCCAGTTTCAATCTCGAACAAGTTACACCCTCATCCTGATCCAGTCTCTAGTCCTCTTGTCTGTCTGCATGCTCAATTCCCAGAACTCCCATGGGAACTCCAGAATCTACATCTTCCTGTATGCATTCTGTCAGCTCAAAATATGGACACCCAAATGAGTGTACGAGGGTGCAGCACATAAGCAGAAGCCAAGTCCATCTCAGCAGTATTACTTCTGGTAATTATTCTGATACCACATTCCTTGTACTAATATCCCTGGAATCTCCCTGGACTTATTACCCAGGGAATCTGTGGGACAATTCCTGGAAAAGAGGTGTTTGGAATAATTACCAGAAAAATCTGCAGGACTTCCAGAGCTTTGTTTGGAACTAAACAATTTGGACAACATTTTGGTATTTTCTGAAGATCCCACACTTCACAATAAACAAGTCTGTGAAGTTTTCTGAAGACTCCAAAAAAACAGTCTTTTCACTAATGGTAAAAAATGCTATTTTGACATGGACTCTATTAAATATTTAGGTTTCATTATTGGGCCTGATGGTGTCCATATGGATGAAACTAAAGTTCAAATTGTCCATGATTGGCCCAACCCACAGAAAGTCAAGGATATCCAGTCATCTTTAGGCTTCACAAATTTCTACCTTTGATTTATTCAGAACTATTTGGATATTACAATACCACTCACTTGACTTACCTGTAAATCTCAACCATGGGTTTTTGACATGAAATGCCATTCCAACTTTCAGACTTTAAAAATGCCTTCACTTCTGCTCTGATTCTTTCTCATTGGAAACCTGATGTTCCAATTATTGTGGGAACTGATGCTTCCAATGGCAAAATTCACCCAGTTGCATTTCTTTCCTGGACACTTTCAATTTCTGAACTCAATTATGACATTCATGATAAGGAACTTTTGGCTATCTTCAAGGCTTTCAAGCATTGGCAGCACTATCTCAAAGATTCTGCAATTCTGGTCAATTTGCTACTGATCACAAGAATTTGGAATATTTCTCAACAACTAAATTTTTCACCCATTGATGCCCAATGGTCTGAATTTCTCTCCACTTTCAATATGATTATCCATTTCTGACCCAGACATCTTGGTGGAAAACCAGATGCCATGACTCAATGATGGGATGTCTATCTCAAGAGGAGGAAAGTAACTATGCCATTGTTAACCCACACAATATGAAACCAGTTTTTACAATGCAACAACTTTCCACATCTATCTGAGTGACTTCCCTCTACCATCCAATTATGTGTAGCATTATGATTATGGACATTGAGCAACTACATCAAGATATCCTCTCCACACTCACTTCTGATCCTGCTCTCAAGTCACACCCAGAAGTTCCTGAAGATCCCAATCAACCCCAGTGGTCCCAAGACTCTCAAGGGTTCATTCATCTCGATGGATATATTTACATACATTCCAGATTCTGACAATCTCTGACTCTGCATACTTCAGTACAAACACAAACATCCAATCTCTGGACATTATGGCATTAAAACACTCTTGGATTAATCTGAAGAGAATATACTTGGCCCAACCTCCAAGATTTTGTAACCCAGTTCTGTAAGTCATGCACTACCTGCTTACACTCCAAATCCTAGAGAAATAAGCCATATGGCCTTCTCAAGCAACTTCTGATACTGGAAAAACCCTGGAATTCAATTTCCATGGATTTCATTGAACAACTGCTTCCAAAGGCTATACATCCATCCTCATTGTTGTAGACCAATTCTCAACACAAGGAATTTTCATACCCACTCATGATACAATCACATTCTTGCAACTAGTGGAACTTTTCATCTTTCATGTATTTTCCAAACATGGTGTTCCATCTCACATAACTTCTGATCAAGGTTCCAAGTTTGTTTCCCATTTCTTCAAGGCTCTTGGAAAAGCTCTCAATATGAAATTACACTTCACCTCAAGATATCATCTGGAAGGTGACAGAAAAATGAAATATGTCAACCAAACCCTGGAACAATACCTCTGCATTTATTGCAACTATCAACAGGACAATTGGAAATCCCTTCTTCCACTCATGGAATTTGCTTACAATAACTCTCCAAATGCCACTACCAGCATCTCTCCCTTCTTCCTTCTTCACCAATAAAGGATGCAATCCTAATCTCACAGTACATCCCAAATGAGATCTTGCATCTGCTCATGCTCAAGAATGGATTACTGACCTTGATGAGTTACACCAGGAACTTTGGAAAGCCATTTCTTCTGCCCAGGAACATTATGAATGTTCCATGGATAAAAACAGAATCCTACCTCCTAACTTCA